TTTCCTTTATCCGTTTTTGAGTTTTCTTCAAAATTCGAAATTTACACATTTTCTCAAATATCTCGAATACGGTCCATTTTAAAGAAATTATGTATGATATAAAAATTATAGAGAATTATATTACAAACAACTTATTTAAACAATTTTTATAAAAAAAATATTTTTTTACATTTTGTCAAATTTCTCGAATACGGACCATTTTAGGAAAATTTTGTATAGATCAAAAATTATAGATAATATTATTATAAGTAACTTTTATTTAAATAATTTTCTTGTCCAAACGTAAATAACGGATATATTTCATAAAATATAAAAATTATCAGCAATAAAGTAGCCCCCCAAATATTCCGACTCTGGCCAAAATCTAATCAGTTCACCGCAGGCTGAAATAAAGCTTAAGTTTAAAATTTAATGTTTTTTCCTTTCTCTGTTTTTGAGTTTTCTTCTAAATTCGAAATTTACACATTTTCTAAAATATCTCGAATACGGTCCATTTTAGAGAAATTATGTAAGGAATAAAAATTATAGAGAATTATATTACAAACTACTTTTAATTGAACAATTTTTATAAAAAAATATTTTTTTTACATTTTGTCAAATTTCTCGAATACGGACCATTTTAGGAAAATTTTGTAAAAAACAAAAATTATAGATAATAATATTACAAGTAACTTTTATTTAAAGAATTTTTTTTTCCAAACGTAAATAACGGATATATTTCATAAAATATAAAAATGACCACCAATAAAGTACCCCCCCAAATGTTCCGACTCTGGCCACAATCTAATCAGTTCACCGCAGGCTGAAATAAAGCTTAAGTTTAAAATTTGGTGTTTTTACTTGTATTGGTTCATGAGTTATGGTGGATACACACACACACACACACACACACACACACACACACACACACACACACACACACACACACACACACACACACACACACACACACACACACACACACACACACACACACACACACACACACACACACACACACACACACACACACACACACACACACACACACACACACACACACACACACACACACACACACACACACACACACACACACACACACACACACACACACACACACACACACACACACACACACACACACACACACACACACACACACACACACACACACACACACACACACACACACACACACACACACACACACACACACACACACACACACACACACACACACACACACACACACACACACACACACACACACACACACACACACACACACACACACACACACACACACACACACACACACACACACACACACACACACACACACACACACACACACACACACACACACACACACACACACACACACACACACACACACACACACACACACACACACACACACACACACACACACACACACACACACACACACACACACACACACACACACACACACACACACACACACACACACACACACACACACACACACACACACACACACACACACACACACACACACACACACACACACACACACACACACACACACACACACACACACACACACACACACACACACACACACACACACACACACACACACACACACACACACACACACACACACACACACACACACACACACACACACACACACACACACACACACACACACACACACACACACACACACACACACACACACACACACACACACACACACACACACACACACACACACACACACACACACACACACACACACACACACACACACACACACACACACACACACACACACACACACACACACACACACACACACACACACACACACACACACACACACACACACACACACACACACACACACACACACACACACACACACACACACACACACACACACACACACACACACACACACACACACACACACACACACACACACACACACACACACACACACACACACACACACACACACACACACACACACACACACACACACACACACACACACACACACACACACACACACACACACACACACACACACACACACACACACACACACACACACACACACACACACACACACACACACACACACACACACACACACACACACACACACACACACACACACACACACACACACACACACACACACACACACACACACACACACACACACACACACACACACACACACACACACACACACACACACACACACACACACACACACACACACACACACACACACACACACACACACACACACACACACACACACACACACACACACACACACACACACACACACACACACACACACACACACACACACACACACACACACACACACACACACACACACACACACACACACACACACACACACACACACACACACACACACACACACACACACACACACACACACACACACACACACACACACACACACACACACACACACACACACACACACACACACACACACACACACACACACACACACACACACACACACACACACACACACACACACACACACACACACACACACACACACACACACACACACACACACACACACACACACACACACACACACACACACACACACACACACACACACACACACACACACACACACACACACACACACACACACACACACACACACACACACACACACACACACACACACACACAGACATCATCCTGAAAATGGTCGAAACGGATTCAGGGGACCCCAAAACGTAAAAATCCGTCGAAAACTGGAGGTCGAAAAAAATCATGATTCCTATACTTTCCTTATCTGTATACAGATAGGAAAGTAAAAAGTATTATCGAGAAAGGATAAGGAAGAAGATAAAGCCAAAGTAAATCAAAACTTTATTGTGGCTTGCTTTGACATGCAAGCTGTCATACCAATTCCTAAGGGGGATATCACAATTTTTTATTATAAATCAAAGCTTAACACAATGACAGTTACTGAAATTGGGAATGATGCAACCTGGTGCTATGTTTGGCATGAAGGCGAAGGAGGAAAAGGGGCCACAGAAGTAGCGTCTTGCATCCTGAAATACTTGGAAGAAAAAGCAAGCAAATGCGACAGTGAAGAACTAGAAATAGTTCTTTACAGCGACAACTGTGGAGCATAACAAAAAAATAGGTAAAGAAATATATTCATTTAATAATTTAGGTATAAGATTTATTCCAATTTGTTCCAGCACTTCTTATGTATGCGGTACAGAAATATAAAATTAAGGCAGTTACCCATAAATACCTCATTATTGGACATACACAAAACGAGGGAGATGCCACCCATTCTGTAATTGAAAAACAGGTAATCCAATTTTTTCTCATTAATCATTATTAGGTTAAATAATTTTTAGCTTCTCGCAACTTTTCCCTACTTATAAAAATTTCATAAGGTAAGCTGACCTCGGGCGGGATTCTAAAATCACGATTCGATACAAGTCGTTATCGATTAGACGATTCTAGTGATTCTAAATTCACTTTTGCACATCTGTCTAGATAACAATGCCGATATCGAATTACCTCTCATTATCGAATCGTGTATCGAATCGTGATTTTAGAATCTCCCAGCTCATTGCATAACATCATTCGGCAACAATAATATATTCCACCTGCCCAATGTAGAACGCCATAAGCACCCGTCAAAACTATCATCGAATGACATCGTGCGGGAAATTGGCTTATCCAGTATTATGATGCTGCTATTCTATTAGCTTTCATTTGTTTCTTAAATTTCAGGTGGCCAGAACATTAAAATCAGGACCTATCTTTTTTCCTGATCAGTTTGTAATGTTGATAAGAGTAGCAAAGAAAAAAGGATCCCCAGCTTATGGCTGATACTGGGATAAATTTTAATGTAAATACCAAGTCTTTATTAGTAACCTTCGAATTGTGAGAGTTGAGAAAAACCAGCAATTTCTGTTTTTTACAAAATGTCGTATACAGAATCTGAGGAATGGAAATCGGTGGATGTTCGTGGAAATGCAATGTTGAAAAAAACTACCAGACGCTCAGAATCTGCAAGAACTCGGTTGCCAACTCTGAAGAAAATTTACAAATCTAAGCTTACAATTAATGAAAATAAAAAAAAAAATTGAAATTTCTATTGGAAAAAAATTTTATACCAAACTATTACAAAGGCTTTTACGAATCATTATTTTAGTTATGTTAGTTGACTGTTGCTTTAATTACTTATTCTTTGTTAATCAATAACTAATTAGTATTAAATTGGTAGTTAGTCTCCAAGATTTTTTTTTACGTTCTTTTTTAGAAATATATATCGACGCAGTCACGCCTAAAAGACGTAAACTCCAATTATTGAAAACAGAAGTAACTGTTTTGTCGTACGCGCCAATTTTTTTTACGTTTTTCTATATCTAGTAAGTGCAAGAAAAATATGTTTATCTTTGTCTAATCTGTAAAAAAGGCGTGCGCAACTTGATGTAAAAGGCGGGAAAGAAAGGGTTTGGATGACATTGTTTTCACACATCGTAAGCGCCAGTTCGTCCATTGAGTTTGTATAGGGCACCTAGTTAATCGTTTCACGGCCTGATAGATCCTGATCCAGGTAAATTGAAAGAAATAATTTTGTTGTTAACGTTTTTCATACCCCTAAGGTACACCTTTCTTTTGATTTTGTCTACAATAATTTGATAACAAGGTTATAATTTAATTTTGTTTCCTATGGCGCTTATGCCAAACCAGTGTCTATCTATTGATGTTTTGGCGTAAACGCCAATTCACATGCTTTTTGGTAATAAAATTAGAAGAGCATTTTATGGTTTTAGTTTTAAATAACAAGATACGTTTACGTATTATTTATTTGAAATAGAATATTTTATAAAGTAAAACATGTAAAAATTGTCCGCCTTTATATTTTATCAAGTCTTAATGTGCTGTTCTCTCAACTGGTGGTTACGTCTTTGTGTTCTATTACAGGAGCCATGAATAATGCGCGAACTAGAAAAATTTTTAGTTTGTTGCAAACCAAAACTCCATTAGAAGAAGCTTTAGACCATGATGTGATTTTTGATACAACTTCCTGTGGCCAAAATAAAACAAACTTTGAAAAGACTATGAATGCAACAGACAGCACAGCCGATACAAAAGAAATCACAATATTACAAAATGTGGTTATAGTCTGTGAGTCTAAGACCCTTAAGATAAAAGAAAATAATGTTGACTATTCAATAATTGAATCAAAGAACTCAGAGGAGCAACCGAAGAACCGAGAACCTGTGACTGAAACAATAAATTGTCCAACAACAAATAGAATTTCAGAAGATGTAAACCTGTTTGAAACTATAGACGACGACGATCCTGATTACATTCCTAAAAGTGAAAATGAAGAGTCCAAGATGGGGGAGATGGATAAAGAAGAAATTTCAAACGTCTACCATCCAGAACAGTGTAATAAAATTACTCCACGACCATTAAAGAAGCTTACTAAAAAAGAAGAAAGAGTTAAGCTAAGAAATACAGGTGTTAAGTATGTAAACAGTAAAGGGAGGACAATGCCAAGCAAGAAAGTATTGGGGAATCCATGTTTAGGAAAAAAATGTCTTAATATGTGCGTGTCAGTAAAAAATGTCAAGCGGCACACAAAATCTAAAGGCCAAGTCACTAGAACAATAAGCAACGAGTATAGTCAACATAAAGGCAATACCAAAGTACGAGTGTGTCAGCAGTTTTTATTAAAAACCCTCAACATATCTCAAAGAATCATCAGATCTATGATACTAGAGAATACAGATTTAGAAAAATTTCATACTCCTGATAAACGCGGACACTATACTCCCCACAATAAAGCTTCAAGTGAACAAGTAGAAATTTTCAAGAAATTTGTAGAATCACTTCCTGCTGTACCAAGTTATTACTGTAGAAGTTGTTCTACTAAAAAATACTTACCATCAGACGTCAAAAGTTTCAACAATTTGTACAAGATTTTCGTTGAAAAATATTCGAAAAATAGTACATTTCCTCCATTAAAAAGATCTTGGTTCTTAAAACATCTTAAGACTGACTACAACATTGGCATTCATGTGCCTAGAAAAGATAAGTGTTCGAAATGCGAAACATTTAACAATTTAGGAGATACTAAGACTAAAGAAAACGTAAAAGAATATGAAAAACATATCCAGGAAAAAGATGCTGCTAAAAAGATTTATCTACAGGAACAAGCAATGTCGGGCAAGGAAGATTTATTGGTGGTAAGCTTTGACTTACAAAAAGTTTTGGCAACTCCACACGGTGATTCGATGTTATTAGGATTTTCTAGAAAATACGCAGTTTATAACTTCACAACGTATGAATCTGGAACACAAAGAGGAATTTGCTACATATGGGGTGAGAAAGATGCAAAGAGGGGTCCCAACGAAATTGCTTCTAATTTATTCCACTACTTACAAAAAGTAGATAATGAAGGAAGATTTAAAGTACTGTCACTTTACTGTGACAATTGTGGGGGACAGAATAAAAACAAATACGTTTTTACCATGATCCAGTACTTTTTAAATCAAAGTAAATTTGTTGAAAAAGTTCATTTATACTTTTTAATTGCTGGATACACTTACATGATAGCAGATTCTATGCTGTGATTGAAAACTACACCAAAAATCTGATGTGTCCAACACATGACTTTCCTATCTAGTTATTATAGGCTTTTTCCGGTTATTTTGTACAACCTATTGCAGTATCTCTATAAATGTTTAGAGGACAAACTAAATATATACATTGTCCACATACATCTACCTCGAAACATTTTTCTATAGATATTCATGGAAAACGAAAATACTAAAAAATTTAAATTTCCTACAATTTTTTCATTACGGTCCATTTTAGAAAAATCATGTATAAACAAAAATTATAGAGATCGATATCGTAAACAACTTTTATTTCAAAAACTTTCATAAAAATCAGAATTTTGCACATTTTGTCAAATTTCTCGAATGCGGATCATTTCAGGAAATTTTTACATAAAACAAAAATTATAGATAATAATATTAGATGTAACTTTTATTTGAACAATTTTTTTCTCTAAACATTAATAACATATATATTCCATAAAATATAAAAGTGGCCTCCCATAAAGTACCCCTCCAGATGTTCCGACTGTGTCCAAAATCTAATCAATTAACGTCAGGCCGAAATAAAACTTAAGTTTAATTTAATGTTTTTTCTTTATCCGTTTTTGAGTTTTCTTCAAAATTCGAAATTTACACATTTTCTCAAATATCTCGAATACGGTCCATTTTAGAGAAATTATGTATAAAATAAAAATTATAGAGAATTATATTACAAACAACTTTTATTTGAACAATTTTTATAAAAAAATATTTTTTTTACATTTTGTCAAATTTCTCGAATACGGCCCAGGAAAATTTTATATAGAACAAAAATTATAGATAATTATATTGGAAGTAACTTTTATTTAAAGAATTTTTTCCTCTAAACGTAAATAACAGATATATTTCATAAAATATAAAAATGACCACTCATAAAGTACCCCCCCAGATGTTCCGAGTCTGCCCAAAATCTAATCAGTTCATTAGACGCTGGAATAAAGCTTAAGTTTAAAATTTGGTGTTTTTCTGTGTATCCGTTCATGAGTTATGCGACATACAGACACACACACACACACACACACACACACACACACACACACACACACACACACACACACACACACACACACACACACACACACACACACACACACACACACACACACACACACACACAAACACACACGCACGCACGCACGCACGCACGCACCCACACACGCACGCACCCACACACACACACACACACACACACACACACACACACACACACACACACACACACAGACATCATCGCGAAAATAGTCAAAACGGATTCAGGGGACCTCAAAACGTAAAAATCCGTCGAAAACTCGAGGTCGAAAAAAATCATGATTCCTATACTTTCCTTATATCTGTATACAGATAGGAAAGTAAAAATATTATTGTGCAAGCACCTTCAGAGTGGCCCACCATTCTCCGAAATGCACGGAAAGTTCCTAAACCCTACGAAGTACAAGAAATGCAATTTCACAATTTTTTTGATTTTAAGAGCTTGCAACTACAAAAAAATTTGCAAATTAAAATTTTCGGCACTAAGAGATTAACATTTACGAAAGACAATGCTGTAGTCTACACAAGTTCATTTTTGGAGGAACAAAACAAATCTGTGCAGTTAACGATTCAAGCCAAAAGTAGGCTACTGCCATGTTATAAAGGGGAACTGCCAATCGCCAAAAACAAATATAAGAACTTAAAATCTCTTTGTGACTCCCTAACAATTAGAAAAGAATTTCATCACGAATACTTGTTACTGAAAACAAGTAATACAGTAGCTGACGTTTTAGAAGAAACGGATGATGAAGATGAAATTTAATATTATTATCATAGATTTTTTTATGTTCGTTGTGTTTAAAAAAAATAATTTCACCAAAGTTTGTTTTCTTATTAATAATAAGAAATGTTTGTTATTTTACAGTAGTATTTTTTGTGATACCAGAATTACCATTTTGTTTCTTAAATAAAGTTCTTCTGTCATTAAGATTTATTTTCCTTGTGATTTCTACATTGAACCTAACCGACAAGACGTGGATAAAAGTAATATAATTGTTTTTATTATTTTGGCGTAAACGCAGTTTAAACGCCATCTGTGGTAAGCATCACATCCATCCATATTGGCGTAAACGACATTTGTAAAAGACGTAAGCGAATTTACCTAAACCTGTTTTGACACAACCGCCAAATTACTACAATTTCTGCAACAGTTATTTCCTAGGTTCCACCAAGTGAAACAAACTTTGTTTGTTTAACTGAAAATTAGTTTTGTTTACTTTGGTAAAAATAGTTTTTGAAATAATAAGCAGGTGCCTAAATTCAGATGTTTTTTTCACTTCCTGTAAAATGTACCGTATGGCGCTTACGTCTCTTTGGCGTAACACCGTCGATATGTTTTGTTTCAAGAAATTTGTATTATTTCTCATATTTTTTAAGAAAATGTAGCAATTTCTTTTCAGTTTATTATCATAATCAATAATATGCGTAGAAAATAAAGAAATTTTAAAACTCAACACAAAAAGTATTTAAATATTTTGTTAGAAAAGTGTATCATCTCAAATCAAACTTAACTTCTGAGACTTCTATGAAAAATGGAGGATTTTTTTTAGTGTGTGGTTTTGTAAGCATACTCAGTCAAATAAAAACAAAGCATGATATATCTAAGTCTAATATTGAATACAAAATAAAAAAATAATGTATCAAAATTTTGTTTTGCTTCTCCTGTAAAATTTCACATTTTTGATTTAATACGGCTTTGAATGGGGTGTGCGAGGTATGTTTCATTCATGAACCTCTTTTTAGATACTTCATATCTCTTTTCCTTTTCTTATAATAGAGCTGAGATATCGAGATTCCCTCACCCTGTACGTTAAGAAACGTAAACCTGAGTGTGAAAATTGTGAACTTAACAAACCAAAAAATTACAAATCGAAATCCGAAAAGCAAGAAATATCTAAAATAAGTGGTTGAATACTTTGAAAATTCAGAAACAAATCTCAAAAATCCCCTTACAAATTAGTAGGAGCATCCTCAAAAAATATTTGGAGATTTCAAAAAAGCCGGTCATCCTTGTTCTCTAGAAAAATGCCCTTACCTCTAGACCATCAACTACATTGACTGTTGAGAATCCTAGATATAAATTTGATGTGTTAGTTCTTAAAGTGTCTTTGGTTATAGTTTTTTTCCTATATTTACATTGAAGCATTCAGTATTATTACTTTTTTTAAAGCATCAAAAAGATCATATTTAATTCCCAAAAAATAAACGTATTTTTTGAATTTAAACAAATTGTATTTTTATAAAAAATGCCTGTTCTTTTTTGCTTTATGAACTAAGAATATATTTGAAATATTAAATATAAGATTCAAATTTATCGCAGGCCATTTTGGCATTTATGGACATTGCGAATTTATCCAAGTGGGTCAATAAAAGTACAGAATATAAAATGATGGGAAAAAGGACTCATCTGGCCTTAATACTGCTGGGTTTATACGATATGGAAATCGGCGATGTGTAAATAATAAAGACTCATATAGGTATAAATGGTGAATATTTTGGAACGCTTGTATTGAAAGGGCTTTTCAATTTTGTTTAAGGACCCAATATCAATATTTTTATGTCTCTACCATAGACCACAAATACAAATTTGTCGTACTTTATTATATAGTGAGTTTTATGGTATTGTCAAATAATTTATTTCGGGTTCATGTACTATATTGATAGTTACTCTTTTATTGTAAGTACAATTTATGGCAGATTTTACTTTTGATGAATTAGAGAAACGTTTATTACAATTAAAAATCGATATACCTTCAACTGATCTTGATTCAGATTCAGATACTAATGCAATAGTAACAAATAATTTACAAGTAGTAACCAATAATTTACAAGAACAAGAAGTAACAAATAATTTACAAGAAACCAATAATTTACAATAATTAAATATGGCTTACAAACATGAATTTCTTAATTCTTTACCTGAATTAGATGATAATACTCATGATTTTTAGCCGTAAGTAAATCTTTGCTCAAACAATTTTATGATAAAGAACATCCAGAACATTTTCAAAATACAATTTATTTAATTCAATTATTTCAAAATTAAGGGATAATACAAAACCGGTAGTTAATATTAAAAATTTTGCAAATTGGAATGATTTAAAAAAATACTTTAAGTAGAAATATGATTTTCAAACGCAGATTGCACGGCACTACAAAAAAAATATTTCCCTGGATATCTTCGCAAATTTTTATGTTTTCAAGTGCCCAAATTACGAATATATTTATGAAAGTACTAAATGTGTTCTTGTTTTTTATGATTTTTACATAGCTTATATTTTGAACAATTATTGGCTTGTTAGTTATAAAATGTATTTTCCCAATCATGATTAGGCTTCTGCGCAACTTTTTCACGCATACAAACATCACGTGATTTCCACCCTCAGACCCCTTGCTCCGCAGAACTGCTGATATCTCAGTTATTTAATAATATTGAAGTACTTACACGTAAATCTAAATAAGTTGTCATGTGTTATTTTTTTTTTTTTAATTACTGAATGTCCACTCTAATATATTGATTTTAGTCACGAAGAAAGTGTAAATATAGTATTGATTAATTTTGTTATATTTGACTTCACTTTGGAAAAACAGTGAAATATCCTCGTTAATAGCAAGTAACATCAATAAATATGAAGAATTGTGCCATACACTGACAGAAAATAATATTTCCTTACAAGCCACAGCACTAAGCAAAAACCAGTTTAAAATTAATACTAAACAAGAAGAATACTTAAAAAATGTCCCTTGAATTCAAAAGACATAAATTGACATTCATATGAAATTAAACAGAACAGAGACATTAAAGTAATGGTTAGAGGTCTACCATCTACATCTAAACCAGAAGATGTTGTTAAAGACTTGCAAAGTCAAGGATTAAAATGTAAAAAAGCTGTCAATACAATAAAAAAGGAAATAGAATTAACCGAGGATAACACTCGTAAACTAAATAAAAACTCATTGCCACTATTCATGCTATCCTTCAAAAATATTGAAGAAATTCTAAGAAAATCTACAAAATCAAAGCAATAGCTAATCTAAGAGTTAGAATAGAAACCATAAGAAAGTCAAAACTAGTTCTTTATTGCAAAAACTACCAGCTATTTAGACATACACACAACGTTTGCAAAAGAGAATCAAGATGCGTAAAGTGCGTAGGAAAACATCATACGAAGGATTGAGTAAAAAGTGCAAAACAACAACCGAAGTATATAAATTGCCTAATGGAACATCCTACTGACTACAGAGGATGTAAGGTGGCTAAAACTGTTCAGATAAAGACGAATAACACTACTGAACCTAAAATAATGACGAGGCAGAAGAGACCCATAAACGCTTTTCTTACTGACATAAATAACATATTCTCAGGTAACAAACTCACAGGAGAAACTAATTAAAAGGACACATCCAGCTATGGATCCTATGCCACAAATTGCACAGCATACTGCACAGTCAGCCAGCCTAGTAGAAAGTACCACTCATGAATTATTATTATCCTTAATAGAATAGATTCACTCTCTGATAGGCTTCAGAAGAAAGAAGAATTGAATGTACCCCAAATATATAACAAAACCACCAATGGACAAAGAGATATTGGAATACCAATGGTATTCTCCAGAAACAAGTCCAAGTTTTCTTGGACGAACAAAAAATATACAATAAAAACTCCCAGGTCCGATATTTTGTTAATTAATAGAGATATTTTAATTCTGTAAAAGCCAATTCACAGAGCAATAAGAGAGCTTTAGTTTTAGATATAAATTGATTTTAAATAGGTTAATATGTAGATGGAGCTGCGCTTAATAATTTTTGTTTCTATGGGAGGCTCTTTCTTGTGTAGCGTATCTTGTAAAAAATGCATTTTTAAATAGATTTTGGTTTATGAACTAATTCGATAAATCTAGCTATTTTTGATATAAAGAGTGGGTCACTCAAAACAGTCTCATCCTGTTTTTCAGCATTCATTATTGGATTTTAAGAAAATGCTAAAACAAGTCGATTTTTATTCCAAATTAAGAACATTTTTACAATACAGACATTTGTCATGTGTCACATCACTGAAAAGGTAATTTAATAGGGGACTTTATCGTTCTCTAGCGGGATAAAAAACTACTAAGTATTATAGAGTGTGACTCTACAGGGTGTCCGGTAATGAATTTAATATTTCGAATCATTCTGACACCGGCCCTGCACTAAGTAGGAGGATGAGGGATTGTAGACAGGTAGCGTGACCATGCGGATTTCAGTTAGGATGGCACCGTGGCCTGCAGAACAACGAGCGTTCATGACTGAATCATTTTTTAAACCAAAGGATTGGTATGTTGTGGCGCGTCGACGTTTTTGTGCACGTTTTAATATTCGACGTATAGCAGATGCACCGTCGGCAGCTTTGGTGCACAGTTAATTTAGACCCTACCACAGTTCTCTGACTATGATAACAACGGCACATGGTTTCAACAAGATGGCGCCACGGCACATTCTACAGCGACCTATTTGAAATTAATTTATATCCAAAACTGAAGCTCTATAAAATTGCTTTTACAGAATTTAAATATCTCTATAACTTACCAAAATATCCGGCCTGAGAGTTTTTATTGGTACACCCTGTATATGTCTGATTTCTGAGACGCACATTACGACGGAGTCATACATTAAATTCAGAGGATACAGTATCCATCCATTAAATGCAGCAAGAGGAGAAAGTGCGTTAATTAATAAAAATATTCGACGTATAGCAGATGCACCGTCGGCAGCTTTGGTGCACAG